CATAAAAATGATAAAATTCAAATGCCGGATAACAGTTGGTATATGTAAAATTCGATAAATAGAAAATGCCGTATAATAATAGTTAGGCAACACAACAACTTACTAGAAACATGCAAGACGAGGATAGTATTGCACATAATAGTGAACAACTTGTGGAAGACAAGGTTGTGATAATTCTTTAATTTAGAACTAAGCAAATTTAATTTTTTGGTTCTCATAACATGGCCGAATCAAATTTTGCAAAGAAAAAATTTTATTGTCCGAGTAGGGCATTTTTTTTTAAAAAAAAATTAAATTAAATTAAATTAAATTAAAAGCTGGGCAGCAGTTATTTATTCAAAAATTTTATGAGAACCAAAAAATTAACTTTATATGGCCGAATCTAATTTTTTTTAAAAAAAATTTATTAACTGTATAATTAGAAAAATCGAGAATCAATTAATTCAGATTTATTTCCTTATAAAAAATGCCGTCTTTCAACTCAGCAAAAAGCATCAAACAGTTCAACTCATCATAGCATTTATCGTCAAGTCGCAAACAGAAATCTTGAAGATTATCGTTCCAAGATGGAATGTCAAATGCATACAAAGTACAACATTCAAGAACGTAATTATAAAATTGGTAACTTGGTTAAGATACAAATTGCTAAGATTGATCATGGACCTGGCGATCATTACGCACTTCCTTGTAAAGTATTATTGGTACTTCCCAACAATATGTATCGTCTTGTGTGCCAATTTGGCATTCTTGAAAGAGCATTTCCTGCCGGTAAGGTTTTGCCACTTGGGCCAAAAGAATTTTCCGAGTTGGATAACCCCCCGATCCATACATCTGTTAGCATTGTTGAAGCTGCAAGGCTACAATCTAATGCTCTTGCTGGCAATAAAGGCTGTAACTGCAGAGGCGATTGTCTTACAGCAAAATGCTTTTGTAAAAAAGCAAATGTTTTATGTGGAAGTGGATGTCATCCAAAAAATTCGAAATGTAAAAACAAAGCTTGAAAATTAGATAAATTGCATTTAAAATTTTAGCAGTTTATTAGATAAATATTTTTTTATCATGTAAATAATAGAGCTGCTTTTTAGGATTCTGCGCAATTATATGGCATTTAATAATGTGACTAAATTTATCAGAAATTTATAAACGAAAATTCAATCCTCTGCTAAACAATTTCAATACTATACCCATATGGTTAAAGTTTTTATTGAAGCATTTTAATGTAATAAATGCTTCTACGTAGTATCTATCAGTTTAAAGGCAGTGAAAGAAAAAAAAAAATCGCACAATTAAGTTATTGATGGGTTTATTATTTTTTTTTTTAAGTTTTCATTTATCTATTTTTTTTTTGCGATTTAAATATTATTAACTTGAGAATTTACTCTTACTTTTAGGTTATATTCTATAAGCGAAAGTATCCAGTGTTCATTCGATATACTGTACAAAATTATGTCACATGTTACATGTCTATTTTTTAAGATTTCATTTATTAAGGTTTTATTTATTTGTTTTTTTGTCTTGCGGCTTTAAATATTGTTAATTCGCAAAAGTTATATTTCTATAAGTAGAAGTATTCACTTGGGTGTTCGTTCAATATACAATGCTATGTCACGTGGTACATGTCAAAAAGTTATGTTATTTTCAATCGGGGTACCCCGCTTGAGAATTCCAAATTCGGGTACCCCGATTCTGGATCAGGATGGACGGATTCCGAATTGGGCAAATTCCAAATCCGGGTACAACATATGTGCCAAAAAAATTTCTTTTCGATTTTTTTTCCTTTGACAGTTAAAATTATATTACCTCAGCAATAAAATTAAGGTTCTAAACACTTGCTTCCAAAATAGTATGGTAAAGAAATTCCAAAATAATATCCTTATAAATTGGTTCATAAAATTTTTTAACGTATAAAACAATTTCAAAATTCCACCTATAACACTCTGTTTATAAGATCTGCAAAGTTATTATTTCTACGTTTTTGTGAAGACGAATTGTTAGAACTTCCTGCACCATATATGTAATTACCACACTCTTAATCGTCTGTACGTAGATGAATAATTTAGTAAAAAGCTATTTTTATCTTAGTAGTTGATCAACATGTCACATAAAATCTGTTAATGCGCATTAACCCAATAATTAATATATATCCATTTTTTATATCGATATATAATTACGGATGATCCAAATGATCCAAAAAAATTTGTTACACTATTGATCTCGGTTGGTAAGACATAAAAAATTTACAAATTCAAAAAAATATAGATTCGCCTAAAGATTAGAGTCTGATAGACTTGTTAGAATATAACTGAGGCCTTCGCGTCATTGCCAAAAGTTAGATAATGACAATTACATGTACGCGTCTTCCAATACAATGTCTTCGTTAGTATTAGAACGGACACGTTCCCAAAAGGCTTCAAAAAATGAATATATCGAAGTTCAGACAAGCGAAGAACAAAATTATGATATCGATTTAAGAAAACAAAAAATTTTAAATATAAGCAACGTCCAAGAAGAAAGGAGTTTAGCTTTTGAGGTTTGTTCGACTATAATTATTATTTTTTTTATGAATTCTAAATCATATTTTAATGATTTATAGGCAATACCTCCAATATTGATATCGGTAGTTGGTTTGATGCTTGCAGGATGGCTTTTAGACATGGTTCAAGTATGTGAATTAATTATTAGCAATAAGTATGCTATAATAATAAATCTAATATTTTATTTAAAAAAAAAAAATGTTATCGGTAGAGTTGGCCAGTTTTTGTCAAAGTTCCAGAACTATATATTTTGGTGCCGGTACTATTAAATTTGAAAGGCAACCTTGAGATGAATTTAGCATCACGATTGTCAACTTCGGTATATAATTCATAGTTTATTTTGTCAGGGTGTGCAAATATAATTTATATAATAGTAATTATATCGTAAAAATTAGGCAAATTTAGGCGAGTTAGATAAACCGTCAATTCGATACACGCTGATTTGGGGTAACCTCGCAGTTCTTCAAGTACAATCACTGGTTGTAGGTGCAATTGCTGGATTAATTTCTTTTATAGAAGGAATAATATTTAATCCAAATCATAAGACATCATATCATGAAGACATGTCAATAATAGTCGTATCAATGATGTGTGCTGCCTTAAGCAGTATGATCTTGGGGACACTTATGTGTATTCTTATAATATTATCTCGAAAATTTCGCATAAATCCAGGTGGGTTTGTATATATCTGATATGTATTAGCTTTATATACAAATTTCCATTATTAATCAGATATTCAATATTTAGATAACATTGCATGTCCTATGGCATCGTCACTCGGTGATTTATTCACATTAATTATTCTCACTTTATGTAGCGAATTTATTCTTAGTTATATGTGTAGGTATTAATCTAAGAGATGCTTATAATTATTCTGGTTTATCTATTTATCGTTTTTATTATTTACATATCGATTAGCTATATGGATTAGCACTGCCTTGTTCATAATTTTGGCTGTGAGCGTTCCTCTATGGGCATCTATGGTATGGTCTAATAAATCAGTTCGACATTTATTGACTGACGCATGGACGCCTCTTTTCATTGCTATGGTGATTTCAAGGTATTGTAATTCTATTTTTTTTTCTCTCTTCTACATACTAATTCATTTAATTATTTATCGAGCCTCATTTATTTTGTCTTGTTCACAGCATTGCTGGTTTGGTATTGGAAAATTATATCGAACAATATCATGGGCTTGCATTGTTAACCCCTGTACTCAATGGTAAATTTTTATTAGATTCTCTACGTTACATTACATTGAGCACACAATTTAATATTATCTATCGCGTTATTTATTTGTTCTATATTTGTAGGAATAATTGGTAATTTGGGGTCCATATATGCATCAAGAATATCCACCCGTCTTCACGGTGGCACTGAAGAAAGTTATTATCGATCTGAATTAACACTATTCTTAATTCATATTCCAATCGAAATACTCGTTTTGATAGTCGCTTGGTGGTTTGATATTGGACATATGAATCTCACTTGGAGCTTTTCAATAACTTACTTTCTCGTTTCTGTTCTCTGTGTATGTGTTTTCCCTTTATATATATAGTCTTATAAATGTGTATACCTATTTATAAAATGTATATTTTTTTTATCAGGCGGCATTTACGCTTATATTTGCTAAAAAATTGACGCTATGGTTATGGCACCACGATTACGATCCAGATAATTACTCATTGCCTTACATGTAAGTCTAGTTGATTTAAAACTTTTTGATATTCGCGATACATGTAACTGTACTTACATACATATACACCTATCTACAGAACCGCTATTGTTGACGTTGTTGGTAATGGATTACTAGTGTTGTCTTATTGGAGCTTAGCTAAACTTGGACTTGATGGGCATAAAACAAAAAAAAAAAAACATAGAATGCGGAACTAACGCTAAATATTAAACTTAATTAGAATAATTATGAGAGGACATTGGACATAGAATTTTTTTTTCTTTTTGTAAAATTAATTAATTCCTAATGTGATATTGCGAGGATTATGGCTTCTTGAATAAATTAAAAGCAAATAAATTTGATCCATACATGAATCAGTGTTGTCAGTAGACTAATTGGGCATAGCTCAATTGAATTCAACATATCTAAATAGTCCAGTTGACAACGCTGTATATGTGAATAACGATTATGTTTATCAAAATAGCACTCAGATTATGATTAAAATCACGGAGCGCTAGGGTGGGGCCTCAACTAATTAAATCAAAACATAGTTAGGGTAATATATGAAGATCATTAATTTCGGATTTTTTAT